GGGAAACTATTCAGCGACACGAATGTTCCGAAGTGTTCCAAAATAATGAGCCCCGCTGACTCGGGTTCTTTCCTGCGGTCCAGTCCAGACTAAGAACCTGGATTCAGCTTGCTTCCTTCAAGTCCCTCCTTGTGTTTCTTTTCAGTCATTGCTAACTTAGGCATTTCTACAGCATGCATTTGCTTGCTGTCATCAAAAAGCAGAACTCCACACAGTCACAGTCGTTTGCAAACCGGAGGCAGACGGATCACCAGCAGCAAGTTGCTTCCTGGCCTTGCATCTCTCGGGTAATTTAAAAGCTTCAAAGAGGCAGCTCATGGGAGACCTTAGGCCCTGCAAATCCTATGCACAGTGAAGCTGTCACAAAGCTGACAGGGGACCCTGCAGTGGTTACTCCTTTCCCTCTTCTTGCCTCCTTCCCATCCTCCTCCTCTGGGGTGTCAACATCTATAATGCGTGGAAAATTACTGCTTTTATTGGGACCAGTCTTTCAAATGAATTCCTTGGAACAAAAGGGGATGGCGCATGCTGGCTTTCTGGAAGCTCCAGGCGTTGCCCAGTTTTTCTGAACAAGATGATCTGATCGTGCTGATAGAAGTGCCTCACGGTGGCTTTCAGTAATTTTGGTGCCTGTGATGGACAATCAGACAGGAAAATGGAAACAGAAAGAACAATTCTACTCTACTGCACAAATTGCCACCACGCCAAAGCGAATGTTAAATATTTCCTAAGGTTATGTGAGCAAACATTTCAATTTATAAGAAAAGACTTTTCCCACAGGGATATGCTGACCTTTCCGAATGGGGGGTGGGGTGCGTGCACACTGCACTCAGATGAGCAAGCACCCTGACATTTGTGGGAGAAGGAAGTCTGTGATTTGCACTTGTCATAGGTTCCACCCATGCGGTTGGGTCTGTGTTTCTCTTCTGGGGTTTTTTCTTTTTAAAAGGTTTGGAGTAGTTTCCTTACTTCCGTTTTGGGTCAGTGAGTACTTATAAAATTTATATATTCCTGATCTTGCCAGGTGAAATAAGTAGTAATTTAGGAAAATAAACTTAGAGCAAACTACTCTTGAGACAATGTCCACAAGTTCCTAGCTATCTGAAAATGTAACTAATTAGTTAAGTCCATAAAATTAAATAGGTTTGTATCAGTTAATTATTTTTAAGCCATGCAGGCATGATGAATGCCTTTAATCTCAGCACTCAGAGGCAGAGGAAGGAGAGTGTCTGAGTTCCAGGGTGTCTTGGTCTACAGAGTGAGTTCTATTATAGCCAGGGCTACACAGAGAAACCCTGTCTCAAAAATCCAATAATAATAATGATGATGATGACGATAAATCACTGAAATGTACTCTGCAATGAAACAGTTTTGCCTGTTGTGAGTGTTACAATGATTTTATCAAAAATTCCTAGTAATTTTTAAATCCAAATGTTACCCAGGAGAATTTTGTTTTAAGACTGAAATATTTCCATAGAATTTAATTAAAATTGAATTTTATTTACCCATTTAATTTATCCATTAAAACTTTATGGATAAACTAAATTTACCCATTAAAAAGCATTTTGAACAAGAAAAAGCCAATATAGGAAACATATCCACAAGCACAAAGTTTTTGGAATGACAGTAAGCCTGGGACTTTGCCATTGGCCTTCATCCGTTTCCTAACAAAATGAGAGCACAGCATCTGGAAGAATTTCAAAACCACTTCACTGTGTACCATGCTCTTTGAAAATTGTCAGCTTGTGCAAGCCTTCATATGGAAACTGTCAGCTCATTGGAATAGTACTCTATTCTTACAAAGTGTTTCCCAGTGCCATGCTGTTTAACTCTGAAGAGGAGCCTTTAGCTTTACTTTCTTTGAGAAATGATGACTGACTTGCAGGATTGCCAGGTGGATTGGATATAGGTTTTCAGCCTTAGGGCTAAGCATGTGATATGTAGGTCTCCATTGCTATGACAAAATATTGAGACAAACAACTTCAATGGAGGAAAACTTGACTTTGGCTTACATTTTCAGAGGTTTTAATCCACAGTGTCCTGGTTGCCTTGGCTTTGGGACTGTGGTAAAAGACACACACCATCTCGGAAGGCTACGGTAGAGGAAATGTCCTCACCTGTAGAAACTGAGAAGTGACACAGAAAAAAGGAATGGACCATGTATGCTCTCAACATCCCTTTCAATGGCGCACCCCTATGACCACAGGCTAGCAACCAAGCCTTCGAATAACAGCAAGCAGGGGACATTAGTTTAAGACCTACGACATCCCACTCTAACCGCTAACACCCTAAATCTGGACTTCAATGCAGAGACTCCTGCTATGTCTATCTAGCCACCCTCTCCTACATTCTGCAAGGGCCAACAACAGTACTGCAGAGACAATTAGGAAAAGCATCTGTAGCACCTCACAAACAAAAGTGGACAGGGCCTGACATCTCCCATCTATCATTTCAGGTTTTACAACAGGCCTAGTTATGTAGTGCAGGCTGGCCATTAATTTGAGGCAATGCTCTCTCATAGCCTAAGTCTTGAAAATTATGGGCCTGCTCCCTCATGCCTAGCTAAAAACTCCAATGTATAATCAACTCTTCATAGTCTCATTTAATCATTAAAACCACCATCTCCATCTGAAAGAAAAGAACAACTTACAAACGCAGACAAACTGCTTAATTTTGTACCATCTCTTCAACTCTACGAAGTTGTCAAGACTGCTGTGTCCAGATCCTGCAGAACAGCCATAGAAATCTGGAAGAGAAGGCGCAGATTAACTGGGGCTGACCAGATTTTCAGTGCCGTTTGTTGCAAAAGCCACTGCTTACAAATTGGCAAGGTCAGAAACAAACCTTCAGCATGAGGCTGGGTTGGATTTAGACAGTTCCTCAAAACAGTTCCTCTTTATAATCCTCCAAGACAGAACAGGACCCTCTGGTAAAAACACACCTAAACACGTCTCAAAAAGCTCCCCAGTTGCTACTAAACATGCCCAACGGCTACAGCTCAGGGACACTGAAGTTTAAAAGGTAGAAAGGAAGGAAATAAAAAAAAAAAGTTGTGAGGGAAAATTTAGTGGGCCGTGACTCTAATTTCAGCCCTAGGGAGGAAAACCAGAAGGATGGCAAGTTAGAATTCCAGTTAGCCTGGCCTCAGAGAAAGTTCCAGAGCAGTCTAGGGGAGGGAGCAGGGGAGAAGAAAAGGGAATCCTATGACCTTGGAACAAAACTAAATACTCTCTCTCTCTCTCTCTCTCTCTCTCTCTCTCACACACACACACACACACACACACACACATACACACAGTCTTCTTTGACCATACAGCAACTCAAAACACAAAGAGCTAGGTCAAAGGAAGCATCAAGTTGAAGTTACCGGTGAGGCAAATGTACTCTTCACAAATCTTCCACCTTCTCCAGCCCTCTAACTTCCTCCTGAAATGGCATAGTCTCATCTCCCAAGAGAACCAACCTGTAAAACAAGCCTGTGCCCACTCCCCACACGGCTTCCACTGGAGTCACTCAGCTCGCATTAGGATTTCCTAGGAACGAAGGAATAGTGTAAGGAAGTGATAGCAAGTGGCAGTTGACAGCAAACATGAACTAGACAGGCTGAATTAAGGGAAATGCATCCCGCTACATCTGGCTCAGCCCCTCCTTTTAGTTCACGGGGACCGTCTTTGTCATCTTAGGGTACTTGGACACTGGTCATGGTTAGATTTATACTTAGTAATGGTCTGGTCCAGATTATCACCAACACCTTCTCGTCAACAATCAGTCTTCATCCAGAAATAGTACATACCCAAACTGAGGAATCCAGATGAAAATCTCTTCAGATCATCAGTTCAAAATAGCCAGTCAAGTATCACAAAGAGCCAAGAAAGAGGATTCTAGCTAAAGCTTAGTAAGAGACGGTTGAGAATTAAACATTTCTATTAAACATATGACATAAGTTTTACACTATCATTGTTTTTTGTTTATTTTTAATCTCAGACACAGAATTCAGAATATGAGCAGAACTTCACAAACTATAACTAAAAACCTGGCATGGTTATTTTGTTCCAATAAGCATCTAAAACCCATTATATCACATCAGGCAGCATTTAATCCCAGAATTTGGGAGACAGATCTCTGAGTCTGAAGCCAGCCTGGTATGCAGAGTAAGTTACAGGACAGCCAAGGCTATGCTGAGAAACCCTGTCTCAAAAACAAAAAAAAATAAACAAACAAACAAACAAACAAAAAACAATTACACCTTATCAAAAGAACTAAAAGAAAAAAAACATAACTTTGGAAGCTGAATACCATGAAGTATTTATCATACATATTTCACTACATGAATTTTGTGGGGATCACATGTACCCAATTTAACAAAGAAATTTAGGTAAAAATACTTCAGAATTTTTAAAGAAAACTATTTCTTCCTAGTTGATCATATAAGATGTAATTTCTAACTGGTTTTTATTTCTCAACAGCTACAGAGCCAAACATAAAAAATAGCTTATGTACTCAAAATGCCTGACTAAAGAGGACCTCCTTAGTACTTTACTATTGAGGGAAGGCAGTAAGATTAACTACAGTAAAGGAAATACTCCTGCATGAATCCTACATACACAGACATCATAAAATATCCTCATAATGACTAAAACAAATAAACAGAGAGAAGAGAAGTTCTAAAATTCTAAGTTTAATTCTACCCAATTGGGAATGCACTGGAGAAATAAACATGGAAAGTGGCAGTGTGGTGGTCAAACCTCTTCCTACCAGAGTTAAACTCAACTGATTATATTACTTAGTGTGAAATCTCAGGCTAAGAAAATTTAAAAGCCTCAAAGTACAGTTATTGATCTGACTATGAAGTATTGCCTTAGTTCAAATATACTGATAATGTTTGGCCTGTACACTGTCTGTGACATTTTAAAGCCCCACCAAATGTTAATCCTGAGTAGTAACTTTGAAGAAAATAAAACATCTTTAAAAAAAACCAAAGCCACAGAAAATCAGCCCAGTTATATTTCAATTGTGGATAAAATTTAATGGTATTTTAAAACTCTGAGATATGATTTTCCCCCATAAAACACAGTATGCAATTACTTCTTTAGACAAGTCCATCAATAGCACAAACAAAATATTTATAACTTGGTTTGTAATGAATCAGTAATGTTATGTAGCTCAAAGTATAGGTTCCCTGCATTGTGTAAATATTAAAAAACCAGAGAAATCTTCCAGAGTCACTTAAAAAAAACATCAATTAAAACTGAAGGCTTTCTGCATTTAAAAAGCAATGGCTTTTAAGGAGGAGGAAGGACTATGGTCCTCAAAGACTGTTAACACCCTGACATCTGTAATGAAAGGGAAAAGCTATTAATCCCAGCTTTTCAGTCACACAAACTTGTCATTGCAGCTGATTTTCAACATTTATACATGCAATATAAATTAAGAAGCTGTATAACATTACAATACCATCCAAAAGAAAACAAAGATATACAAAGTATTTGATAAATAAAATTATTGCATTTAATGTTATTTTCTTGAGAATCCAAATCATCATATTCCTTAATGTTGTACCACACAATGCCAGTTCAAATTATAGAAAATGTATGTCAACACTACCTGCCAACAAAATTAAGGAGGGTATAAAGCCCCCCTAACACTTTGTTTAATTTATGTCAAGTGATCATGGAAACAAAGGCTATTAAAATTACTTTATAATTATGCACAATGAATGAGAGTGTAATAGATAGCAGAGAACTCTTCTACCATAAAATTATTTACACCCAATTTATTCAGCTAGGAACACTAGCTGGAGAGGTACTGGTCTGGAATATTCCACTTGAAGTAACTTCGATACAGCAAACAACTGTCTGATATTTGGAACATGTTGAAGAAAATAGTTGTCTCACTGATTTGTGTTTTGAGTCTTGATTACTATCAGTACAAGGTATTGTGGGAGAATCCTGGTGTCCTGGAAAGCACAATAAA